GTTTCAGAAAGACGGGGCATAGAGGAGAAACAATAATGTACAGTATGTAGAAAATAATGTGTTTTTTTAACTTTAAACCACATAAACATTTCATTACACCAAATACACAAAATAATGTTTTTTTAGCAGCATCATATGACCCCTTTAAGTATATTCTATTTTCCTTTTACAGCTGCAGAGAGGAAGATGCTGAAAAACACCAGCAAACCCTAAAACAGACAACAGTTTACAGATGTTTTTCAGCGGCAGCAGAACTATGACTAAACTTTTGGATGAAACTTGTTTACTTTTATTACTTGTGGGAAAACTTGAAACACTTTTAAATAAGTATGAAGAATGGCATTGGTTTTGTACATAACATTTTTGTTTAACGTTATTAATAAAAATGTACCGAGAACCGTGGATTTTCACTGGTATTGGTACCGAATGCTGACATTCTGGTACCGTGACAACACTATTTGAATCAATGTGATAAACAAGTTACTCTGATTATATCACCTAAAACATGTAATGTAATAAATTACGTTACTAACTAGAATTGTTGTCATGTAATTTGGAATCAGTAACGGATTACAATTAGTAAGTAATCTACCCAGCTCTAATAGCAGAAAAAACAGTCCAAAAAACATAGCTTTAACACAGTGTGTCATACTAAGACCCGCCTGGATTAGTCGTAGGCGGTTTTAGTAGTAACATTAATTCACCAAACCTTTTTAATAGAACACATAAAATAATACCATAGTTCTCAAAACAAAGAGCATTTGCAGGCGTCCTCGCGGGCGTCTATGTAAAGCGTTCACTAGGTTTTGAGCCAAACCCAACGTGTGTGCGTCTTATCAGTGACCCGAGTGCCCTACACGGACGTGACAACATGCCCTCAATCAAAGTTGGTTATTAAATCTAATGAATTCTCACCGAATTTAACAGCGCAGTCTGCGAGGCAGCGGTCCCACTTTCGGCCGAGCTCTTTCTCAGACATGATGACAGCGGACGGCAGCGCTAGAGCGGATGACTTTGGCTTGAAGGCTTGTAGTGCGCTGTCATACTTTCCTTCACCGGCAGTGGAGGAGTGTGTACGCGCTGCAGGATAGCGCCATCACCTGGACAGGCGGAGAAATAACGCAAGTTTAAGGGGATGATCAACGCCCAGAAACAAAATACATTAGTTTGGTTTTGGTTTATTTATTTATATAGCACTACTAAATTTATATATGCCCACAGTGATTTACATGAAAACGCTAAGAACCAAAAACAATCTCACACATACTGAGCAATCAAACAAATACATATACTAGCTAGTTGAACTAACATAGGCTGCCACTCCAAAATGAGCTTTCAGTAGATGTATGTAATAGATGGAATTTTGCATTGTTCAATAGTACACTGAAATCCAAGCATATTAATTATAGCTTGAGAACCAACGCTTTAAAATGTTAATATTTTTTTTTTTTTTTAATGATAAACATCACTTTAATATCATTTTAAGTTTCACAAAAGATACAAATACTGAAATAAAAAAACTAAAAATGTTTATATTTTATTTTTATATTTTCTAAAAACTATATATATATATAGATATATATACACACACACACATATATATATATATATATATATATTTACATATACATATATAAAATATTTAGAAAATATAAAAATAAAATATAATTTAATATATAAGTATTTAATTTTAAATATTTTTTGAATATTATGGGTGAAAATTATTTAATGGAAAGTTTAATTAAATATGAATGATCATTTAATAATCAGGCATTTAAAAAATGATATCCCTTTAGTTTATTTTACATGTAAAAAGAATATTTATATATTTAGTGAAATTAACTTTCACACTGGATTCTAGGTTTCAGAAAACGTTGAAACATTCAACATCACACTTCATAATTTATCACATAAACCTCATCACGTTTAAACTTGAATACTTGTTTTATTTTACATATTGTGTTATACAAAATAACAACTGCAGTATACATACGATTGCTTTCCTGAGATGAAAATACAACGATTTACAATACAAAGACTGGCAATTGTCTAAAGGCCATTTTAAGAGGATTCTGATCATAAAACTGTGGAGGAGTGCTGTACATGTTACACGACGCACGAGATTATAACATCAAACTGTTGAAAGATGCAATACTGCTGATACATACATCTGATCTTATGCTGAAGTTAGTTAATAAGCCTGTTAATAATCTGTTTTCACAAATATAGAATGTACTCCAAACACAATTTAATCATGTGACCTAAAAAGACCTATAATCCTGCAAAGGCTAAATCAATTTAAGACAAAAATCTATCATTTTAAAATAAACCAAATTTTTTTTTTTTTTGGAAAATGCAAACAGAAATAGAGCCAGAACTGATCTATAATGCAAATTTACTTTAAGTTATTAAGCATCTATTATTAAAAAACTGAAGAGGTGATACGTCTTTCCTGAACAAAAACACTACCATCACTAATAATAAACATCAGAAAGTGCATCATCAGGCAGCAGGAAGTTAAACCCCCGCCAGGACAGTTCAATTCAACACTAGAGAACCCGATACAGATACTATGACGCCAGGTCACCCGACATACAAATATACAAACTGCCATCTAAAGTAAGATTTCCTCTATTAGGGCTCTCGTTTCTTCGGGCTCTGGGCTGCTGTCTCTGCAGGGTTTGTCTCCTCTCTCTGCGGCCTCACGGAGCTGTTGCTGATGGACAGCAGACCCCTGAGCTCCTTGTTTTCAATCTGCATCAACAAAAAGATGCATTACATGAACATACAAAATGAGAAATTATAAACTGATGTATTAAAATAAAGCCATTACTTCAAGCTGTGCCAATTGCTCTTTTACAGAGCAGTAGCGCTGGTCGTCCACCTGCACAGCTCGACGCATTACTTGACCCATTTCACAGATCCGCTCCAACTGGCTTTGAACCTCCTGGAATAAAGACTTATTTTAGGTTTCATTCTGCTTGATTTTTGAACATGCCATTAGAATAACTTAAAGAAACGGATGCAATTTTTTTTTTTTAAGCAATAGGTCACCCAAAAATGAAAATTTGCTGAAAATTTAGCATCATATTGCTCGCTTACTAATGGATTCACTGCAGTGAATGGGTGCCGTCAGAATGGAATCCACACCACTCCAGTCCATCAATTAACATCTTGTGAAGAGAAAAGCTGTGTGTTTGTAAGAAACAAATCCATCATTAAAGGTCCCACATTGTCAAAACTGAAATTTCCTGGCTTTTTCACGATAACTGAGGTCTAGGGGCTATTTAACTACCATATATGTCTACTTGCGTCACGATTAGTACCAGTTGTGCTGGTTAGACCCTGCTCCGGAGTAGGAGCTAATTTGGTTCTCGAAAAAGGCAGTCCAGTACTAAAATCACACCCAGTTCCGGCGGTGCGAAAACGCCAAAAAGTGGGTAGTTCCACAATTAGTTCTGGTACTATGAAAAGGTTCCTGCGGTGCGAAAGGCCCTACTGTTACTATGAGTTGGTCACATCTAACGTGTATAGTAAAGACAAACTCACCGTGTCGATCTAGTCATGATGAAGATGTATATACACATTTCAATTTCAGCAGGCAACTATTTCTACAGCTACATTGTTTCAGCCACAATTAATCACAACAATATATACATACAATTACAAGTGATTATATATAAATCGTCAGTTTGTTGTTTTACACACCGACATTATTTCATACACGACATAGACAAGAAATCTGTAGACGCGCCCATAACAACAAAAGATAATACTTTATTGAACCTTTTCAGATAAGAAGTGTGCGCTGAAAAACGCCAGCATACACGAGCATTTTTGACGATCCTTTCTGTCCAGTCTGCTCGTTTTATCGCGTTTAACCACAGCTGTCGTCGGATTTTTGTCTGGCAGTGGCAGCAGATATGTGATCAAATTTCTAATTTGAGGCTGTATAACGTCGATTCTGGCACCCAACATCACAACTAGATGATATTTTAAGCTCCTTATGTAGCCGAATCTGTGCTGGTTTGAATGGGCCGCCTCCAGTTTCCCCTTTGTTTTTCTGCCTCCAGCTAGCGCTGTGACGTCGGCTGACCCTAGTTACCTGTGGTTGGCCTGGCTGTACGTCACTCAGAAAACAACAGGCCAATCAGAAGAGAGGCTCATGAATATTAATTAGACAGGCCAAAATCGACCTGTTCTCAGCAGAGCTCATGAGAGAGGAGCTGTAAAAATATATTGAGATGGTTTTTGGTACTTATACCGCAAATATATATATTCTTAAGGACATCAAAACCTAAAATAAAACTCCAGAAAG